ATAATTTTCCTCTCTCACAATTTTAGTATATATTATATGTTTATAAATTATGTATTAATATAATAATTTTATTAGCTAGTATTATACTTTATATTAACTTAATATAATATTTTAATTATGTTATCCATATGCATGACGAAATGCAGAAATGAATGGTTGGAAGGCATATGGTTGGAGGGCAATGGTTCGGATACGCACACATTTTCATGTCATGAAGCGGCCAAACGTTGGGCGCGGTAAAACATAAGTGAAGGATTTTCGGCGCCTGTAATCCTGGCGGCGAGTACCGTGCTAATGATATTTGTTGTCGCTGTCATCGGGCGATCCATTGTAACTAAGTTATGAAACGTTATTTACTCCGACATGTAACATATATTTTATTCAACGATACCTTATAATCTTTTCATAGCCTAAAATTACAGACACCTAAAATCCTTTATCGCCCTATCCAAATTTCAACTAGTTGATAAGTTTACAGCGTCTAAATGCTCCTTAAGTCACAGATGTGCAGTCTTTTTACACCTTGCTAAATATCTGCATGCAATCATTTACTTTCTCGATATAAAATATCATGTGTGACAGCATATTGTCCGTACGATGTAACGAATATGCATTATTATATTTAGTTATCAGTGATGACAGTAATTATCTATAACTGATAAAATATTACGAATTTGAGAGAGAGAGAAAGCATAATTCAAGAGGTAATAAGACATTTCAGAAGGCAACATAAACAATCATACCAACAGGTAAAAACTTAATATTTTTATTTGTTTGTTTTTTTGCTGCTCGATCGAAATGTCCTAAACACAGTTTTTACAAGACGTTGCTCTAATAAGGGACATATATCCTTATGAGCCTTGCTCAAAAGATCCATGGAATGTTCCATGGTATCCATACTGATGCTGCCCATCACAAACATTTCGGAAATTTGGCCATGTTGTGGAAGAGCAGCTTGTACAATAATTCCATGATCATTTGTCGTATCTGATTTATCTGATGCAGTTTTTGTGAAACAAAAATTTTCTTCTATATCTGTTGGATCTACTAGATACGTCCCATTGCATATGCCCTATTAAGAGTAGTATATAATTTGTCATCATATTGTACATTGTCATTAAAATTGACTTGGTTAAAATTCTCAGTTATTTACTTACAATAGTAGATGCAGTAACTAAACCAAACATTGGAACTCCAGCATTTGCCAAAGCTAAACTAGCTGCCATTATCGCCGCAGCCAACGCAGATCCTCCATTGTCGAGAACTGTTGCATAGACATCGACTTGGAAATTAGGGAACTCTTGCTAAAATTAAAACGTATAAAGGCAACAATTGATAAATACGATTTTTACATAATTAAAAAATATACAAATTATTGGTTTCAGTGTTTCTTTATATATTGTATCAAGAAAATTTCCAATGAAAAAAAATGGAAAGTTATATACCAGACACACTGCTGGTTCTAAAGCTCTTTGTAATATCAAGCTATACTCCTTTTCCTCTGCATCTTGCTGATGCAATTTCCGTTTGCGATGAGAGAAGGATGCAAATTTGAATTCACAAAATAGTTCCCCTTGCATACAGAAGCCAGTTTTGTTTGGTATCTCTCTAGGATCAAATACTGAGCAGATGACCTTGGTGTTACCCATTTCAATGTATGCAGAACCTTTTGCCTGGCTAACAATGCCCGTTTTCAAAACTATACAAAAAAATTCTTTCTTATAAAATATACTAAAAAAAAATTAATTCTTAATGGCAACCACGGAACAAAACACTTGATTATAATTTAACTAACAACAGAATTTATTAACATTTGCAACTAATTCATTGCTTAACTTAACCGTTGTTTTCGTGTTGCAACAAAAAAAAATTAATAACTTTATCCAGACGGATAAAATACTACAAAATATTTCTTGATAAACGATTGTTAAATTATTCAGACATCAAAGTCAACTTAATTAATTATACCGATATGTGAAAACATGTGAACACAACCTCAATACCCTTACATATATTTCGAAGTTCGTTGTCTGAACGATCGTCATGCCTTTTTGGAACATTACATTGTACTCCGTTGTCTTTCGTTTCGGAGTAAATATAAATTTCATACGATGTGGACGCATCTGGCCCGTTAATACGTTTTTGATCAACCGGCATTCTTTTCAATTCTTTTTTTTACTCTCATTTGTTTTGTTAACAAATTATCTAAAAGTCAGTGTCGCCAGCCAACCCGTTTAACTCGCTATGACGACTTAATGCACAGACGTCGGGATCAACAAGTCTATACTGGTTTAGTTTCCACCGAGGGTTTAAACCGGATCCAACCGGAAGCAACCAACTGCAGTCGAGCATTCCCCTGTCGTTCGATTGTTAACAGGGGAATACTCGACTATAGTTGGTTGATTCTTACATTCTGATCCGGTTTAAACTCTCAATGGAAACTAGGCCAATGTCTGCGTTCGGAAATGTGTGCACTCGGCCTCCGATGCTTCGGATTCATAAGTCCAGATTTACAATAGGCGTTTTAAAGGCCCTGCACACAATGGAGGAAATATTAGCTGAGAGATAGGAATAAATATTCAGATTTCAACCTATCAGAAACCGTGTATTCCGGTGTAACTGGATTCTGATAGGGTAAAATTTTAATATTTATTCCTGTTCCCTAATATTCGTTCTATCGTGCCGTGTGCGCAGGCCCCTCCTTCTCCTCCCTGCTCCACCCACGTTCTCCTTTTTTTTCCGACCAGGAGCCCCTCCTTCACCCTACGCTACGCGGTTCGCGCTACGTCGCTGCGTCGCTGCCATCTTTTGTCGTCTCTCTCTCTCATGTATTCCCGTCCCGCGCTATCCCGTTACATGCTACATTCAGTTATAAGTTACAACATCTCGTGTTTCTTGTACATACGTTTGGCGGTTACGAGTTACGTTTCGGCGTGTCTGACTGAGATTTCAAGCGTTCGCATTTTCTGCTATCTGCGTGCACTTTCACGATCGTATTCAAGTCACGTGTAAGCTTTATAATGAGTACCGACAGTATTGAAAAACTGTATAGGAACTTTGGCATTCTTGCTGACGCCAAAGATAAACTGGTACAAGTATGTATAATTTGTTGGTTACATCGAGCACCGGCCACGTTCAGTTAAAAATCTATGTAGTTGAGATTTTGTTTCTAACATACATACGTACGATCGACACTATTGTTTTATAGGTCATTGTTCATGCAAATTGTTCTTCTCGTATAAAATATCAAAATGTATTTTAAAGCGGCGAAAATATGTGTAGCGTCCTAGCGTGCATTTGTAGATTACCATACAATTTATATTATCAAAATTGAATTTTTTTCCTCTGTATGTCATTATATTCTCTCTTTGAAGAACTCGGTACTATAGTAGCTCGCCGAAAACTTTCCGTTTAACTTTCAAAGAGCCACTCACCGAATATTTGAAGTACCTTTAATAGGCATAGTTAAATCATCATTCTTTTTTTAATCGATTTATAATCATTCCGCGTTCAGGAGAATGTTTATTTTGGAAGTTTTTTCACGCTGATGATATTACACTTTCGAGATCTAGATTGATTTCAAAAACTTTACCTGAACACATCCATATGTGTCACTTTATCCTTGTTTAACATTTGCCAACATTTGGTGAACAATAAAGATACGCTTCATTCGAGTCAAGTTTTTTAACCGAGTCCTAGATGATTAGTCCTTTCTCAGCAAAGAAAATTTTAATAGTTGTAAGATAAACTATTTGCCGAACACGGCCATTGATTCATATAAGTGCGCCATACTTTTGAATAATTTGTTTATTTCAGCTTTGATGCCAATTAAGAAGGGATTTGGTTTACAATATAAATTTAATCACATACATCTATCCTTGTAAATTAATTCTCTCGAATTAACTATCTAGTTAATAATTTGCAATATTTTACATAAATGTACAGCATCCATTGATTCTTTTTCTACATAATGTATCTAACACAGTCTTCAGCTACCTATTACTATACTATTATATAATTTCATTAAAATTGAAACTGAAAAAGTTCTTTTAGAAAAATACCAAGTTTTTTTTTATTACTTTTAAAAGTTCTAAAAATTGCAACACCTCAACTTAGCACAAATACATATAGTATGATAAATAGCCTACATGAATAGAATAAAACTGAAAAATAACCATTCATATTGATAATATAACACTTTAAAAGGCATAATCAATTTTTTTATTGCAAATTCTGGTAGATAAATGTAAATCTGTCAAAAAGTAAGTAAAAGTACAATTCAACTTTTATAATAGTAAAAATTTGTTGAAGCTTTCACAAGTATGTAAGAATTTTTTTCTAATTCTTACATAGTCCGGAACAATATAAAAATCTACAATGAAATTAAAAAACTCAGGTTGCAGACAAAGAATAAAAATTTCATATTTTCAACAGAGAGATAAGATTATAAAACATAAAATTATTCCAAATCATTATATTTAAAAATTAGAAAAACGTCTCAGGTGTAATATTTTTCAAGGCAATCCTTGATATAAAATCTTGCTTTTCTCGTATCGCAGGAATATCCTGATTAATAATACTAAGCTAACTTTGTTTCGATTATACTAAACTGACTTGCCTGTTTCGAAAGAAGATTTCAACCGACTATTCCTGTAGACCAAGGACTTCAGCTTCATCTTTTGTTTAAATTTAATCATTTTTAAATTTAATTTAATTTTTTAATGAATTTCTATCTTTACAGTTCTGTATCTTAATAAAGATCACATTGTTATGTTCCTTAAAATTATGTACATTTAACAGTCCGCAGCTCGATAAAAAATTTTCAAAAAGTTTAATATTTTTACAAGAAAGTATAATATATATTTGATAAATATAAATTTACTGAGGAAACTTTGTATTGCTCTTGTGAGTTATCTTCAATGCTGTTTATATTTTAGCATGAAAAGGAATATCTGGAAATTCTGACGGCAGTTAAAGGATCGCCTAAGGAAAAACGGCTAGCATCACAATTCATTGCAAGATTCTTCAAGCATTTCCCAAAGCTAGCAGATCAAGCTATAGATGCTCATTTAGATTTATGCGAGGATGAAGATATGGCTGTAAGTTTTCAAATAAAAGATTGAGCCGTTTTCAGTTTTGAGCATGCTTCAGTAGCTGAAATAATAAATTGCATATACTACGCAGGATATACTAAGTACGCTGAAAGATTTTAAGCGACCATTCCTCACACAAATTTAAGAAATGAAAACTGTATGACTATATATCCGAAACGGTTTAATTTCAAAGATACAGTTATAGTTAAAGGAAAAAAATTTTTTTTTTCTAAAAATTTCGAAATTCATTTAAATTATTTTGATAAAAACTTTGTATATATTTAAAGTTTTATCAAAATAACTTGAATGGTTTTCGGAAACTTTTGGAAAGAAAAAAATGAAATTTTTTGACACCATATTTTTGAAACTAAGCTATTTTGAATATACAATCATATGAAAGTTTTGTCTTGAATTTGTGTAAAGCATCACCCCTTAAAATCTTTTAAGTACTTAGTATACACCCTATACAATATCCTTATTTTTTTTTTACAGATTCGAAAACAAGCTATTAAAGATTTACCAGCACTTTGTAAAGACAATAAAGAACACACAGCACGAATTGCAGATATCTTAGCACAATTATTACAAGCTGAGGATCCTTCAGAATTGGCAGTTGTACATAACAGTATTATGTCACTTATAAAAAGTGATCCTAAAGGTATTATTTAATAAATTACAATAACATCTATAAATTTACGTGACATCTATAAATTGACTTGGATTAAATTTTGCATTTGTTGTGGTTAATTTATAATTGTAGACTTAATTATTGGATTATAAAACAAGTTTCTATTTATAGGTACCTTAAGTGGATTTTTTAGCCAAATTATTAGTGGCGACGATGGGACGAGAGAACGTTGTATAAAATTTCTAGCTATCAAGCTTAAAGCAATAGGACATGACATTGTCACGAAGGAACCGGAAGACTTGCTAATTGTAGAATGTAAAAAAGTATTGCAGGTAATTTACTATGATTTTTAATATAACGTAATGCATGTATATATATATATATATATGTTCTCTTTTTTTATAATGCATTTTTTTTATAGGATGTGACTGCTGACGAATTCCACAGTATTATGGAAATTCTTGCATGGACTAGATTGGGATCTACTATCACTGGACAACAAGAATTGGTTGATATTACGATAGAACAAGCTGAACTATCTGTACCTTTTAAGCACACTAATGTCGAACAATGGAACAGATTGGTTCAATGTGTTAAACATGCTCTTCCATTCTTCAGTGTATGTATACGTATATACTGATGCATTTTCAATATTTCTTCAAATGTGATTTAATATTTTATCTATATTTCAATATTCTTATCCCTTTTCAGTCACAAATAGATTCATCAAAATTTGTTTCATACATTTGTGTACAAGTTCTACCGCATTTGTCTTTGATGACTTCTCCCGATGGTAGAGATATTCAATTGGAACTGTTAAAGTTACTTGCTGAATTAACTGTGTTTTGTGGAACTATTGAAAAACCGGAAGATAAGGTTCAACAGCTTTACAATACTCTTATTGTAAGTATTATATTTTTATTCATACATACACATATATTTTGACAATATATTTTTATGTGTATCGCAATATCTAATGTTCGTATTTTGTTGATCAAAATTATCAAATTTTATCAAATATCAAAATCATTGCTTATTATTTATTATTCATTATATTTTATTTTAGACTTATATGCCACTTCCTCCAGCTACTGAAATGACAGATGTACCAAAGTTACAATTTAGTCATGTGGAATGTTTAATGTACGCCTTTCATAAGTTGTGTAAACAAACTCCTGAATTTTTGATAAAGGATGCAGAGCAGCTCAAAGAATTTCGGTTAAGATTACAATATTTTGCAAGAGGTATTCAAGGTTATATAAAGAAATTACGTGAAGCTATTAGCGGAAAAACAGAAGAAGAACTGAAATCTGAAGAAAATCAATTAAAAGTTGTGGCATTGAAAACAACCAACAATATCAATACTTTAATCAAAGATCTGTTTCATTCACCTCCTAGCTTTAAAAGTATAATACATCTCTCGTGGAAAACACCTTGTAACGACAAAAAGGTTATTATTTTCAATATGATTATAACAAATTGTTTTGCAAATAATGACAACTATAATGTTACATTCGTGAGTGCT